TGGATTTATCAACCTCTGACTGGGTCTGCTGGACACTGAGCTTCCTGTGTCCATCACAAAGTTGTTAGGTCATCTTCTGAACAATCTTCTATGAGTCACAGTTGCCAGGCTCCGTGTTCCTGGGTGGTTTCATGTCTGGAGTTCCTGGATCTGTGAGAGGTGGGCTGGAGCAAAGGCATTTTCTTCAACTCCAAGGTCTCATCACCTCATGGTGCCTGTGGCTCTTCCTGTGGAGTGGTTGAGTGAACAATGGAATCTCTGCCACTGGGGACCAGAGTGAGGCATGTTCTGATGTGTTTTGTACTTCCTGCTGTTCAGCCTGTCTCATCTTCACAGAGATGGAGGAGAGTGGCTGTTGCACCAGAGGCTCTGTAGTCTGTCCAGGAGTGGGAGGAGGTGTCCGACAACCTTCTGTAGCATCTGTACCATGAGTGACTTGTGGATAGAGCTTGATAGGAGCTGGTTCCTTATCATGGTGGTTTCTCAATAAGCTACAAATGGATCTACCATATGATACAGTCATAGCTATCATTCCTGGGCACAGAGCAAAGGGCTTCCTTGCTGTGGACACCTGCACATCCGTTTGATTGGCACTCTATTCCTGATCACTAGGGAATGGAATCAACTGCCTTGTTTAACCCTCTGTCCTTTCTGGCTAGCACCCCATGTGAACTGTGCAGTTGCGGCTAACATGATGGGCAATCCCAACCTCATAGCTGGGGAGGGCTCTTATGGGGGGACTCACTGGGAAATACTTCTGGGGGGGGGTAAATATGCTGATAGGCACTCAGGCTATTTGCTCCCAGCTGAAGGCAGCATGAAGCCAGTAGGCGGGAGGGTGAAAACAGGGCAGAGACAGCAGGGTGACGGGGGAGCCAGAGTGATGAGAGCCACAGAGGAGACGTGAAGTGTGTGGACACAGAGACCTTCATGCCTTCTTGTAAACCCATCCCCTGCAGATGGTGTCCAGTGATCCTGGACTTGATCACTTTAATGTGTTGATCTGTGTGCCTGAGAACTCAGCCTCATTATACCAAACCACATAGAAATAGCTCCCAATCAAGAAGGACCCTAATGGTGCTGGTTTGGGTATAATCTTAAAGGAAGAGACATGGAAAGGCCAGGAGCTCTGATGGACTCCTGTCAAGCCAGGCTTGCCCTCCCCACTCCAAGTCAGGAGAGCCTTTGCAGCTCTCTAGTCCTGGCTTTCCATCTCCCCCGCATCTTCAGACATTCAAATGTCTGGCCTTCATATGGGCAGGTTGGACTGTCTTTCCTTCGCACTGATCCAGATCCACCCTCCTCCTTCACAGGTCCCATCTCCCACACCGGCCACCACTCCAGGATTTGGTGCACAGCTCTCACATGCTTCTCTTTGGATGTTGAAGCCTCCTGAGTGTGTGAGTGATGTCCTACACTCCTCTGGGTTTGCCCGGTGCTTTGTTGAGAATCAGAGTAATGCGAGATAGCTGAGATGTAGCTCATGTCAAAAGCGGCTGCAATGATGTTTTCTCACATAGTAGATCAC